TTGTCTGAAGCATGCAATTAAAACAAGTGGTTCTGGGCTTTCACTTCTGAATTGGTTTTAAAAGCATAAAACAGTAGATATTGTTCTGTGCATACTGAGTACTTACTGATGATTCTGATTTAAACTAAATTCTCCCGTGCACTTCAGAATAAAGTGCAGGCCAAGGCTCATCACCACACCCTTCTGTAAATTAGCTCATATCACACAGGTGACCAAATATCTCTGTATGGGACATTTCAATGACTGTTATTAGGGAGGAAAACAAAATAATAGGAAATCAGCCAGGTGTGGAAGCACACACCTGTAATCCCAGAACTTGGGAGAATGAGGCAGGAGGATTACTGCCAAATGGAAGCAAGCCTGGGCTACAAAGTCAGTTCAAGACCAGCCTTAACTACACAGCAAGACAAGACCTTGTCTCAAAGATAGACACCAGCTATCAACACATATTATATAGTGTCTTTAAGTTAATGCCACATCAGCAAAGTGTTGAATCAAAAGATTTGGTTACTAACCTTTAATAATAGACCTACTTTTATAACGAGCAAGCATTTGATTATTATTTATTTAATTATTTATTTTGAGACAGGGTCTCACTATGTAGTTCAGGCTGGCCTTGAACTAACAGCAATCTTCTTGTCTCAGTCTCCCTGCTTCAGTCTCCTGAGTGCTGGGATTATAGATGCTACCACATCTAGCTAATAACGGAACATTTGAACAGATAATATTATTACTTAGTTATCACCTTTTTAACCAAACAACAGGAAGAGAATCTGCACATCAGAACAGTGTTAGGTATTTTAGGTATACCATTCACAACCATTTTTCCCCAGCAAATCTATGGATAAGGCTTTATCTCCTTCATTTCACAGTGAGAAAACTGCGATCTAGAGAATCTAAGTAGCTTGTCCACAGTAATGCAGCGAATGGCAGAAAAGAACTCAAGCCTAGGTCTATTTCACAAGTTGACTACACACTGTATGATTCTCCCATTCTTATCAAAGTTAGGAACAAGCAAAATCAAGCCACAATGTTATGCCACATCTATGATGATAACATAAGAATACCAGTTCCCTGCAGGGAGTAGGTAGTGACTAGAGAGCAGAGCAGGAACCTTCTGGAGCAGTATGTTTCCTTCTTTATCTGGACAGTGTAAACACATACAGGAGTTCACTTAGTTCATTTTGCAGTGGTACTGTATGCAGTGGTACTTAATTTTAAAGACTCCAGTCAACTTCAAGTTCATGTTCATAACCATTAAACCACACTAGCCACTGACAGGACTTAGCCACACTCTGGAATTGATTCCCTTACATAGTCAATTAAAAAAAAATATTCTGATAAGCAGTGTACATATTAATCACATCAGAGTGGAGACATCTAAACAATAACCATGGTTTAAAATGCCACAGAATGAAAAGTAGAAAGTATCAATTTCCTGGCTACTGGGAATTTCCCCTCTGCTGCTACAGCAGAACTTTTTAAAAAAAGTTAAACTGTGCTACAAGGGAATGTTTATAGAACAGAGAAAATAATTTATAGCAAAGCTCTTAGACTCATCTACAGAAATGCTGAAAGCTAAAATAACAAAAATGTTTCAAAATCTACATAACTTTATCAATGCTGATTCTTAAAAGTTTGAGTTTTGTTACAGAAATTAAGTCAACCCAAGACAAAAAAGCCGATGAGCAAAGACCATGAGGATTAAAGGCAGTGAAAACCTCAACTCACAGTTTAAAAGACTAGAAATCTTGGTACAAGTAAGTTTTTCTAGCAGTAAAGTAACTGGCAAACAAATTCTCCACCAAATAGCAAGTTCTCACTACAGCTTTGCAGTCCCATCACCTGGGCCATGATGAAATCATTACATCAAATCTCTCATAACCTCCCCCCCCCCCCCCGCAGCACACACATCTTATCCAAACAGTAATTGCCTCTCCTGAGAGAGGAATATATTTCTTCCTATAACTGTGGAGATATATATGGCAAGGGTGTACCAATAGTTATCCCATCTTAGAGGGGGCAAAAAAAACAGTGAGGTCCACAGCTGTTGGTGTTAGGTGCAGTCATCTTTCCTGGATGCTTTTGATTATGCAGCCAGTAAATATTTACCACTTTTAAATGACCAAAGCTTAGTTTAATTTTCAGTTTAAACTTTGACACACACCAAAAAGATACAAGGTAACTAAAAGAAATAACATTAACTCTAGGCAGGCAGACACACAGGAGACAGAGAATACTTCAATATTGGTAATTTATGCACCACCAGCGGCAGTGTTGCAATGGATTATATAATCAATTATTATTCTAGTTTCAAGATTCAGTATTAATAAGGCTATTTTCATTTAGCAATATTTGAAGACTGTCAGAACTAAAACTAACCCCCCAAAAAATTAGAGTATTATGTCTATTAAGTTAGAAAAAATTAAAGGCATTGACTCTGAGTACTTCAGAAATGGGTCAGTATTCCTAAACTTTGCCGTTTTTTATTTAAAAGGTATTAGAAAATATTAAAAATTAATCCTTTGAGAAACAAATAACTTATCTTCTAGTCCCTCCTTTAGCTGAAAAAGCCCCACATATTTCTACCTAGAACATACTAAACTTTCTCTTTTTTTTTTCTTTTTTTCGGAACCGGGGATTGAACTCAGACACTTGGGCTTGCCAGGCAAGCGCTTATTCTACTGAGCCATCTCCCTGGCCCCCATACTAAACTTTCTCCAACAATGCATCAAGTACATACATGTAAGGTGATTTCTGTTTGGATCTTTCTGTTTCTTAATATGACTCTTAAAAAAAAAACCACACATTTGAGGAAACAGTAAAAAAAGAATCAACCATGAATTATCAGTTGTACTTTCCTATTTTTAGCATAACTGTAGTACATTACAACTACAGAAATCGAAGCCATGTTTTTAAAATGAAATCTTCAAAACTACAAGCTTATACATCCTGTCCTCCTCTAGAGGCCCAGAGGAAAAAACAAAACAAAAAAACTACCAGTTTTACAACAAGCAAACTATATTCACATTTCTTAAAAGACTACTTCATTCCTTGAATTTTAAAAAACTGTTTCATCTGCCAAATTTTGCAGATTTAGGACTCATAAATCTAAAGGGGTTCCCACTATATTGATTACAGCCATGATCAATCCTCATGAGCCACTTAACACTTCTTGAAGTCATCCAATCTGTCCTCAAAACAATCTCATGAAGCAGACACTACCACTTCCAAAACCAGGCATGAATAAAATGAGTCTCAGGTGAAAAACTGCATCAGGTCGTGGCAGAGTCAAGACCAATGGGGGAGGGGGTGGCGAGGCTCTCATGAAATCAATGGAGAATGAGTGCATTCGTCTGCACAAGAAACCAAACTAAAAAGTAACCCCTTGCTGCAGGAAGAGTTCCATGGGAAGAAGCAATATTCCACACTAAAAAAAAAAAAAAAGCTTCAAACAGAAGATCTAATAATAAACACATTTGTAAGGGCTGGGCAGGCCAGAAAAGGTTATTCAAGCAGAGTTCTTTCTACACAGAGCCTGGACTTCTCTGGTCTTAAAATCTAATCTGGTTTTAAGAGCACACAGGCTAGCCCCAAAGCCCCAAATTCCACCAGGTTTAACCTCTATTCAAAAGAAACAGAACTGAGAGCTGGGTTAGTAGGAAGTGAGCGGCCGGCCCCGGCGGTCCTCTTTCCTGCTCAGCTGTCAGATCAGCATGGATGAGACCCAGAGACCACAGGAGAGCTCCAGACTGGACTTGACCCGGGTTTCCGCCTTCCTAGTATCGGTCCTAGCCTTGTGACCACCTCGTTAACCAACCCTTCATCTCCCGAGGCACAAATAATTACACTGGAAGAATTTGTTATAACAAGTAGAAGCCCATATTCCCCAACTGGCTCCGCAACCAGAAAGGCTAGACTCCCACAGGGAGGGGCTGGAGAATCTAGTTTTAATTGTTCTAAACAGTCTACGAAGTTGGGGAGGGTGAAATGGTCTTGTGGGGAAGTATGGGACCAAGACAAACCATCCTTGTTTTAGGCAAGAGAAATCCTACTTGCCAAGCCAGATTATAAATGTATGTATTGTATTATTTTTGAAGATGATCTTTCACTCTCTGGCTCTGGTAGGAGAGACCAGACTGGGCCCCTCCACCTGACAAGGTGATGAGAAGGTGGGTTCCGGCAGCTTCCCAGGTCAGAGAGTAAAATGTAGGGGTCTGGAAATTCACAAGGTGACGCGGTTTCGCTGCCTCGGGAAAGGTCCTTCCTCCATCCCGCAGGCTCCAGACCTGCGCGGCGGGCTCCGCGACCCCTACGCCCACCGCGCGTGGGGTTCTGCGGGGACCTGCTCCTCGCGCCTGCCGACCTGGCCGCCCCCAACATCTCGGGCTTGCAGCCTGGTTAATCATTCAATGTAAGCTGTGTGGAATATTTTTTAGAGGTCAAAGCGAAAGGTTCTCCCTAAGTTTCGTAGAAACCGGTCTTTGGGGATCTAGAGGTAGCAGTGCAGGAGGTGGGGGTGGGGCGCGGCTCGCAGAACACCTGATCTCCCCATGCGGCACCGGAGCCCGGCGCAGTGCGAGGGTGGGGTGCGGGGATGCGGGCGAGAATTCGCACACGGCCCCCTCCCCAAAACGCCAGCGCGCCGCGACCAGGACGCTCGGCCCCAGCTGCCCCTTACCAAAGCCCCTTCCCACATCACCCGAGCTCGGAATCCCCGGAAGTTGGGGTGCGGCAGGAAACGGGACGGTCCCCGGGCCCCAGGGAGTGGGTGTGGAGTAGGGCCAGCGGCTCCGGGGCCCGCGGCTGGGGTTTCGTTCCCACTCTCGGGAGGCGCGAGAGCGTGAATCCGGCAGAAGCCACCCAGAAGCGGGCTCCACGCCGGGCGCCCGGACGCGGACGGAACTGGAGAGGGGTTCGGGGGCGCGCGGAGGCGGCGGCGCGGGGCGGGTGGAGGGTGCGGTAGGGAGGGTGGGGGTTCCCGCCGCCTCAGGCCCTACCTTGTCGAGGAGCAGCTCCAGCACGGCGGGGCGGGGACGGGAGACTGCGGCCGCATCCACGTCCCAGCCGCTCCGCGCGGCTCAGCCCGGCGACTGGCACCGCTCACGCTCCATGCGCCGCGCCTGGCGGAACGGCTCGGCGGGTCGGCGGCGGGCTGGGCTCGGGCTGGCCTCCCGCACTTGTTGCCGCCGCCGCAGCTGCGCCTCACTCCCGGCTCAGGCTCTCCGCGCCGCCGCCGGTCCCGCCCCCGCCCGACGCACCAATCAGGCCCGGCTCCTGCCTTGACGTCACCGTCCAGCCTGGCCGCGCACCGCCCAGTGCCGCAAGTTTTGGGATGGTCCGGCTCCGGCTGCCAGGCCCGTGGGCTCGGGTATTTACCCGGGCTCTGGTTTTCCTTGGCTTCCGGGAACCTCTGGCCCCTGCCTACACCTGGAAAGAGAAAGATTAAACTAGGTGAGAACAGTGGACCCCTAGGAAGTAGACTTCCCCGCAAAAGCAGGGCAGCTGGAGAGTGGAAGACCGGCTCGCTCTGGTCCAGCCCGCGTCCCTTTGGACAGAAGCCCGCCCCGCGGGCCAGGCAAGGCTGGGGAGCGCGGTACCCCGCTTGGTGAGGACTCCAGGACCTTTCCTGGCCGGAGCCAGGCTATGACGGGGCCGAAACGGATCCCGGCCACTTCTCAGTGCTGGGTCGGGGTGAGAAGCTTGGAGAAAGGAAGGAAAGCCAGGGCTGAGGGGGACCTGACCGCTCTCCCTGCCCTCCCACCTACAGCCACCTCCTACATGTCTAAGCCACTGCTGCTGGATCTTAGGGTCTCCCGTCCAAAACATGGGATCCGGGAGCGTTGGTTCTTCTCGAACCTCTCCCTCTTCCCCCAAGCCTCAGGAAGTCGAAAATGCAAGGTGCCAGGCGCTGGGAACACGCGCCTGGCCCCGGGTCGGAGCTGACAGCTGGACGCAGCCCGGTGGCTGAACGCTGACCCCTTGCGACACTGCAGGGCTCCATGGGCTGGGAGGGGCTGCGCCGACAACAGCTAGCCACCGGACCCGGCGCGCCCTCCTGGTCCAGCACCCCTTCCTGCTCACCGAGCACTATTAGCCAAGATTAGCCTTAGCCGCTGATGGCACCACTTTGGGGCCCCCAGGTAAACCCGGAGCTACCAGATGGAGAAGTTCCTCAGGTTAGGCCCAGCTCAGCCAGCAAGGGCAATGAGCACTCCTTGGGGAAAAAAGGCTCCACCCAAGGCACACCTGTAACCTACCCCTTTGCCAGGTTCTTATCTCTCTGGTTTTAAAAAACGAGCTGTTCTAGATAATTGTACTGAAGAATTAAGAACACTTCAGCCCACTATTTGCGTTTGAAGGCAAGCAGAGATGGAGTTAGGTAAGGAAAAGGAATTATTAGTATCATAACTTCTGAGCCCAGCTCACCCAAGATCATACAAACATTTTTGGTTTTTTTTTTTTTTTT